TTATTATATTTTATATGTATAATAATATATTATATTTTTTGTTATATAGGAGTATTATATTTTATCTACAACTATTGAATTATCTATTCGTTATAGATTTGATTTTTGACGGGTAATGACACGCATTACCCATGACTGACAAAGTGTTGGATAATGAAGCCATTATTCCACAGTTCTGACACGGCCTACTAATCAAAAATAGTATATTATTATCAGGTTAATTATGCCACTCGCTACGCTCGTGACATAAACTTAACCTTCGTGAATAATAGCTCATTATATGCGAGTAGAATACTATACTTTGTCCACGACTATTGAAATTGATTCCATAAATTTATTTTCTAAATAAATTTTTGAANTTTAAACCTCGCAACGTGTTGTGTTGTTCATAGAACCAGCTACGTCACTGACCCACCTTGCCTCTCAGAGGAGGGGAATCGGTATTGGGTAACCTTATGTTCTATAGACCTTGCGTGGAGTCATTTAAATGGTAGGTTAGGCAAACACTTAAAAAATAGTATTTTAATATCAAATTATTTTGCACGAATATTTTAGTTATATGTATATATGCAATTTTTATTATAATTCCTCGTGGAAAATAATTGAATATTAAAATAGTATTATTTAAGTGTTTGCCGAACCTATCCTTTGATATCGACTCCTTCTACTGACAAAATGAGAGTCATTCGGCTTGGGCACACAGCATATCAATCCTATTATTCCACGTGGAAAATAACCATGATGCAACTATACCCACTTCATAGGCATGCTGGAGGGTTTGTAAGCCTCGCTAACGACAATGCCTCCATGAAAGTACTAACTCTCATTGAGATCAGAGCATCATGGTTATTTTCCACGTGGAATAATAGGATTGATATGTAGTATGCGCAAGCCGAATGACTCTCATTCTATCAGCTGAGGGAGTCCATATCAAAGGATAGGTTAGGCAAACACTTAAATAATACTATTTTAATATCAAATTATTTTGCATGATTATTCTATGTATATGTATATATGGAAAACTAGCAGCTTCAGATATGGAAATAGCCAACGTTCCACATTGGAGCACCAGACTCATCCGCGAGTCCATCGAAATAGAGAAGAACGGTACCTTCAACAAGAGAGATGACGCCCTGCACTTGTCAGCCACTTGGAAAACGGTCCTACACCGTCCCCGATCCGGAGCAGCCTTCCTGAGGGAGGGGATTTTGGGCAGACCATAGAGTTTGGGGCACCTGCTTGATTTTTCCCGAGGGATTAAGGTTTTCTTGATCTCGGGGCCTATTGGAGATGCCTCTATTATCGATTTGGTGGTTTTTTTCCAGGTAAGTTGTATGGTTTTTTGCTGCTAAAAAAAATTAAAAGTCGTATAAACGATGAAAATATTTTATTTCGGTGCTATCTTCGAAGATTTCGAACGATTATCGTTCTTCTTCAGGCAGGACTAAGGAACATTCAGATATAACAAAAACACAGATAAAAAATATATATAATTACCGTCGGTGTAGGAGCATCGAGAGTGAAGAGAGTATTGTTTCAGAGTATTTCTTCAAAAAGATTCCGTTTACGAAAAATTCAAATGTAAAAAAACTTGAAGAGTAAATTGAAAAATCCAAAAAATTAAAATGGCGTTTTTCTATTCATCGTAAATCTCGTTTTTCAAAGTGTTTAAAAATAAATGTTAAAAATTAACGACAAAACAAATTACCAAACCTGTAGAGAAAGAACCATAATAACTAAATATAAGAAATCAAAAAAGAAAGAAAATTTTTAAACTTACAATTAACACGTTAAAATTTCCTTTAAAATTAAATAACTTGAGTCAACATGATGAGGGATGAAATTGGACTGAAGGTCATAAGGAACGTTCGCCAGATGATAAAGGTGAAAGAGTGAGGGAAAACGAGTGGGAATAAGAACGTCAACATAAAATCTTTCCATACTAAATTAATTCTTCGCATCATTAAAAATCTGAAACATAAAATTAAAATAGAAAATCGTATTGTTACCATGGGAGACAAAAATGCAGGCCTCATTGAGTTGGATAAAGAGTCATACATAAACAAGACATTAACTTTTTTCAAAGAAAATAACATTTTAACAATTAAGAATAATTTTATCTTTGTTTATTTATTTATTTATCTTTATTTCTCTAGCTCGACCTCTAGCTCTTCCAGGGATGCGTTCGAAACAACATATGCTTGTATAAAGCTAGATCTAACGATACGCGCCACTTCATTGAAGTATCTCTAGCCAAGTACCCCTACCTCAAGTACTTCTATCACTACCTCAAGTATCTCTATCTCAAGTACCTCTATCTCAAATACTATAATAAACGTTTCAATATTTTATTTAGGATGGACTTTAATGGAAATCCTCTACTCTCCGCTCAAACTCGACCTTTTAATATATTTTGTTTCCGTGCCTTTTAACCCCTTGTCTAATTACTATATTATTTCAAAATATTAATAAAAGATAAAGCTTGTTTACAATTAAAGACCAATAATTTTAGGTTTAATAACTAGTTTTAAATAATAATTATAGATAAATATAACTTTTTCCGTAGAAACTGGTGGAAACAACCTGTCAGTTATCTCGGGATTTCCCCAAGTACTTAACTTGAAACCAGATAGAACAACTCTTAAAATTGTTCAAAGTATTGAAAAAATTTCTCTAAAAATAAATAATATTTTTTAATGGAAATAAACTGGTAGAAACAACCGGTTTTTACGGAAAACGTATAATGTTTTCATACAATAAAATTTTATTTATTAATTAAAAAAGAAATACTAAACAATTTTTATTATTAGTACAAGAAAATATAAGAGGGGAATATAAATCAAAAATAGTGCTGCCATCTCTTAATCATATCCATTATTATTATAAAATCCACCAGCGCCCCCATAGCGGACAAATCCAAAAATAACACTTTACGCGTTACTAATTTTTACGTAGCGGTTAGCAGTCTGGTATAAAATAGTCAATGATACCACGATTGATTGATGACAATTAAACGTCGAATCAAATAATCAAAATCGAAACATAACCTAAAAAGTACAAAAAAAATTGCTACCAACACAAACTACCAAAATAACTGTCGTAATATTAGTAATTTTGTGTTTAACCAACCAAATAATATCTATTATTTAGGCATATTCAAAATGTTTTATGACAGGCCACCCATTTAGCAGTAAATTAGTCATTTCCAAACTTATTTAATAGAAAGTGTTATACCGCTCGGTCATAAAATCACTCTTCTTGGATGGTATTTTTTTTATAAAATTCTGACATTGATAACTGATTTAATATACAGGGTTATTATTACAAAAATATGGGGTTTCACCGGTCTATTTCTTATTGTTTTAGAATAAAGCTAAAAATAAACTTTTTTTTTAGTGTCGCAAAGAAATTAAATTTACAGTTTCCTGTAAATTATAACTAAAAATTAAAAAAACATATTTCTGATATTTGAAACAAATACATTTGTTGAACTATTTAATTTATATTTGTTTTACACAAAAGTTGGAATAGATTACATTATTTCACATTTTTTATTAATATTTAATATTATTTTAAATGACTTGATAAATTATTGATAGATGGCGCTCATATATTTTTTTTTATAATTCAAATAAACAGCAACATTTCTTTGTATTCAAAAATTTTCTGAAGTGTCAAATTAAAAATCCTGTTTTTTAAGATGGGTTATGAAAATTACCAAAAGTTTAACATAAAAAGAAAATAAAGTAAATTTTATATAAAATTTTAGTAGAATAATTTTTAGTTATAGTACCGTAATTTACAGGAAACTGTAAATTTAATTTCTTTGACGACACTAAAAAAAAAGTTTATTTTTAGCTTTATTCTAAAACAATAAGAAATGGACCTATATTTTTGTAATCAGAAAAAAATAACGAATTTAATAAGCGAATAATCAGTGGTTGTTTCCATTTAAAAAAACGAAAATTGTCATAATATCTCAAAATCTAAAGCCGAAAATTTTTTTTTGACTATGTCATCAAATTCTCTATAAAAAAGTGTCCATATAATGTCTTAGTTATAATACTCCACCTATAATAATAACCAAGATAATTGCACTTGCTGGTTTTACGATATTTTCAATTTTGGCCTCTAGAGGAAAAACAAAAGACGATAGCGCTTTGAGGTTTTTGGCATTAGACGTTTCTCGAAAAACGAGATCATGACATGTTAGCTACTTTTTTTCTAACTCTTATAGTTTTCGAGACAGCCTATTTGGACATCGAATTTGAACCACCCAGTACATCTTCAATAATTCTTAATAAACAGTTTTTACATTTTTTTCAAAAATTGTCTGATATAAAGATATTAAAATTCTACGTCATCGTAAAGAGAAAAAAATCAAATGAGCTAAGCGAAGGGGCACATTGCCATTTAAGAAACTTCAAATGTTATTCGTTGCTCATTTGTTTTCTGAAATAGAAACAATTGAATGGTGTCTTATTATGGCAAATAAAATATTAAACAACTTTTGTGTAAAATGTTTTTTTATAAAGTTGATACTTACCAAGATATATACTACATTTCATACATAATGGGACCCTGTATACAGTGCTTCCCAAAAGTAACGGATAAATTCGTTAAAACAATTTATGAGACAGATCTAAAGATTTAAATTGTTTGTAATTATTTGGTATAGATTTTAAATTTTTTCCGCCATTTGTAAACAAATGATCCATAAATGATGTTCCATAATTTATTTAGGTAGAAAAATAGCAGTAGCCATCCGTAACCATGGTAACCAATTGTTTGTGTTAGATTATCCTTATAATTATTGATCGTATCGAATTATTTTATAAACAATATTTGTTGAGAATTCCATTACACACAACTTTTATTGATAACACTTTTTAAAATAACTTAATTTTAATTTCCCTGTGAACAGTACGGTACGTTGATTTCGCGGCAAATCGGGAATTTCAGAGCAAATTATTGATTTTATCAAAAAATGTTTCGTACAATATTTGTTTAAAAGTCAATTTGCAATCGATTAACTTAATACAAGTTTTAATATCTCCACCAGGTGGCTCTGCATACTAATATAAATGTCAATATTTTTGAGATCATCCTAATAATTATTCATAATTTCATTAATTTTCCATTCATTTGAGATAGAAAATTGTGTTAAACAATGATTACTTTTTGATATCTGAAATCAAATATCAATATAAATCAAAACCGAATATAAAGAAAAATAGTAGTAGCCATGCGTAACTATGGCAATCAACTGTTTCAGATAACAAAAATTAATCATTGTTTAAAACAATCGGTTACCATGGTTACGCACGGCTACTGCTATTTTTCTATCTCATTGAATAGAAATTATAAAACTTTAATGTAATTTTTCTCGAAAATTTTTTTACGTATAGTTCGTTTTTTTTCTATAATACTTGTCAATGTAAATTATTTAGGGTTTCTGTTGGTATTATCTAGGACCCTTATAAAATTTATGTTGTTTTAATGATTTTTAGTAACATTGTCAGTAACTAATTAGTTGAGGTTAAAATACTAATAAATTTGTAGATAAATACGATTTTGACGAAGTACATATTTGTTATAAAAACGTGCTACAAAGTAATTAAATAGAATAAAATACCTTTTCTAGGTAAGTAAATGGCAAATAAACACCCCACAACACTTTTTATGCACCTTTTCTTTTTGAATAACGAAAGCTCAAACGTCAATGTGACATATTTACTTCAAAACATGATAAAACAAAACTCCCTGTTAATTTTGCCAACTTTACAACAATTTGACAGGTATTATAGAATAAAAATAATTAATAAAAATTAATAATATTAATATTGACGGTACTAAATTCAGAAAAAAATCCTCTTTCATATTCCGTAATAAAAATGGGAGATTGCTATTTGAAAAAAAATATCGATGACATCATACCTCTATTAAAAATGTCGGAAAAATTTAAAAATCTATACCAAAAAATTTAAATCTTTTTTAATTGTTTTAGCAAATTTATCCGTTACTTTTAGGAAATCCTGTATAATTTATCAAAACAAGAGTAATCTTAATTATTAACAAACTTTACCCTTTAATTAAACGAATCAATTCAATAGTAAACAAACGATTAAATTCCACTGCCGAGCCGTTTCAAAACTATAAACATATATACTCATTAGAAAAACCTTGATAACGAAACGCCTTGTATTCTCGAGCTATCACTGTCAATGGTTTAACCACGCTTTAACATTATTGGAGTCGTCAACTTTGAATGTGTGTCACGTAACGAATAAAGCCGTTTAGTTCTTTTGTTAAAAAATCAGTGTTGGTTGGTAATAAAAATTTTTAGCAATAAAAAAAAATAAATAGGACATATTAATAAGACCAATTTATTAAAAATGCCCGAATGGTTTAGTTATGAACGTGTTTTTGAAAGAGTACGTATCAAATTACTACAGTGTTATGTTTTATCGCAATTATTTTTATTTCATTTGTTTTAGTTACCATTATTTTTTGTCGTTTGCATAGGCGTATTGATTTTTATTGGAATTTATTTTGCTTATGTTATTCTTTATCCACCTACTTCACCTATCGATGCACAAAATGATAATGTAACACATTATTTATAAGAAACAAACGTTTATTATTTATTTACTTTTATTTTTGTAATCTAAAAATAAAATAAAATGGGAATTAAAAGAAAATTGTTTTAATCCGGACCTGTTTTAAACTTGAAAACAGTTGATATGTCAATATTTTTAAGGTTAAACAAGCGCAGTCGTCTTCCGGTCATCAGAAGTATCGTTGACATATAGAAGAAAACTTCGTTTGGACAATTCATTCCAAATTATTCGTGCTTTTAAACCAAACTTCTAAACATGTCCTCTACCGTAAAGGTAAGATTTAAAATTTATTAAATAAATTGATTTCTAATAAATATTCTATATTTACTGCTTTTAGATTGGAATAATTGGAGGTACAGGTTTGGATGACCCAGATATTTTAAAAAATCGGAATGAAAAGCAAGTTACAACTCAATTTGGGGATCCATCAGGTGGTAAAATCGTTGAAGGTGAGATTGAGGGTGTGCCATGCGTAATTGTATCACGTCACGGTCCAACCCATGATATTAACCCATCTAATGTTAATTATCGAGGGAATATTTGGGCTTTAAAAGATGCTGGTTGTACTCATATTATTGCAACAACCGCAACAGGATCTTTAAAAGAAGAAGTACAACCTGGGGATTTAGTAGTTGTTGATGATTTCATTGATAGGTAAATAAAAAGAAATAATCCTAAAAAACATATTAAATGAAACATTTTAGAACTCAGGGAAGAAAACAAACTTTTTATGATGGAAGTGAGAATGGTTTACCAGGACTTTTCCATCTTCCTATGAATCCACCTTTTTCACAACCACTCAGGGAAGTTATTATGAACACAGCTGAAGAATTAGGGTTGAAGCATCATAAACAAGGCACTGTTGTTTCTATCGAAGGACCTAGGTTTTCATCAAAAGCTGAAAGTAAAATTTTTCAAATGTATGGAGGAGCAGTTATTAATATGTCTACTGTTCCTGAGGTAATAATATCATTACAAATAAAAATTAATGATTTTAATCCTTAATTTTAATGGTGTTAATAGGTCAACTTAAATAAGATTACATTTTTAATGTTTATTAAGATATTTTTGGTTGGTTCAGTAGTTGATAGAAAAATATAAAATCCAGTTAAATTTAATTAAATAATAACTATGATTATGTTAATCTTATCACAGTTGCTTTTAGAGATGCATTTATCCTTGTACTCATTTCAAAACTTTTTTTATAGATCATGATTACATCATACAGTTTATTTCATTAGTTTCAACAGAATTATAATTTAAATAATCTGAGAGTAGATATTTGATGTTTCCAATTTCATCTTATTATATGTATTCTGGTATGGTCTTTGAAACTTATTGTGGTTGTATTGAAACAATGTCTGTAATTATTGTTCAACTCAGTTTCTATGTAGAGTTTAATGTGTTCTAATATCCTTGATTATTACATGCTTTATAATAATGGGCAAATAAAATTCTCTACATTGATGCATCAGGGAGCAAAAATTTTACAGGGTATTGTGTAAGAGTACAATTTGCTACAACTTTTATTGTAAAAGTTTTTCACCTCTGTCAAGTTGGCACTACATCTTGCAATTGGAATAAAAAAAATTATTGCATTAATTGTCGCTTAATTTGTTGTAATTTGTCGCGTCTTTTTTTATAAACAATATTTGAAATATTGCATTTTTGAGGTAGTGCTAACTTGACAGTGGAAATCTATGGTAAAGAGTGAAGATAACAAAAAACTAATGACGTCATAAATTGTCGCTTAATTTGTTGTAATTTATCGTAAAGTTTACAAATTTGTCGCGCCAATCGCGTGATGCAGTAAGTAAATCTAAGGCTGTGCAACATGGTAAAAAAACATGAAACAAAAAACTTGCTAGACATCAGTTAGAAGAACAGGATAATATAAAGGTAGAAACGTGCGGATTGTTCATAGACGCTGAGTACAGCTTCCTAGGAGCAAATTGTAAATAAAGTGCCCTTTCTTCGCATACCAATAAGTAAATGTTTATTACAAAATAAAGTCTAATTGTTTCTTTTGTGTCTAGCGCTACTTGATATTTGGACAAAAATAACATCGAGTGTAAAACATTCATGCGCTACTAGATTAAAATGTTAGTTTGCTTTTTGATAGGGGAAGAAATGAATTTTTAAGAAAAACAAAATACTATCGTGAAAAGAATGTTTTTAGCATCTCAATAATAAAAAAAAATTTTGGCATTCCATTTAAAAAAAAGTTGATTTCTATAACTCAATAATTATAACTGATGGAATAAAACGTTTCATACAAAAAAGCTTTAGAATTAGCCTATATAAAATACCCAGCAAACAGTTTTAGTCCATCGATCAGTTGTACCAACCTCAACCCTGATAATTAAAAGTTTTCAACTATTTCAACAAATTTCTTCTATAACTCAATAATTATAACTGATGGAATAAAACGTTTCATACAAAAAAGCTTTAGAATTAGCCTATATAAAATACCCAGCAAACAGTTTTAGTCCATCGATCAGTTGTACCAACCTTAACCCTGATAATTAAAAGTTTCAAGTATTTTCAAAATTTCTTCTATAACTCAATAATTATAACTGATGGAATAAAACATTTCATACAAAAATAATGCAGAATTATCCTACGATTTTCGTCCAATTGAAAATATGATATCACCAGCGTGTAGAGAATGTCCTAAAACATATTACTGCCAAATATTTTGAAAGTAGTACCCATAGTGTGGCTAAAAAAAAATAAAGGGCTTACTCTGAATCAGGCTGTATAAATTGTGCAATAAAAAACTTACCGAAAGACCGCGTTTATTTTACATTTAATAAAATAACATTTTATCTTATAAATTATTTGTTGTTATATCTCAATTTTAAGTCATAGACCGGGTGTCAAGTTAGCTCTACCTCACATATACAACATACTAAAATCATAAGCAAAATTATTACACGTCTTCAATACGTTACTATGGTATCTGTAATTCTGTAATTCGTCAATTCTGGTTTGAAAAACAAGCGTGGTAACGTTGGATGACGTACAGGGTGTCCAAATTTCGATGAAATAATAATAAGTAATTTTTTTAGTCATCACGGTTTTTGAGTTATAAAGAGTTAAGTATTTTAGAAGTTGCGTATTCAGTATTTGAGTTGTGTTTATAACTCAAAAACCGCTAGATTTGATGAAATATTCTCGTTATCGAATTCTTCAAAAGGAAATGAAATAAATTCAAAAATCGGTTGAAGATTATTAAGATTTGCAAATCGTCTCTCAAATTCTTGATTAAAATTTTCCAGATCAGTACAAAACATTTCTATATTACATTCACCAGTAAGTTTAATATACTATTTTGTAATTCGCGACGGTAATGAAAGCTATTACAGTACTCAAACGCGTGCTGTAATGACACTCTTTACAGCATCCGATGCTGTAATGAGATTTTAGTAACATTTTATGGAANACATTGACAACTAGAAAAATTAATGACCCAATGTCACCAACTTGAACTGGTTCCATAAAATGTTCCTAAAATCTCATTACAGCATCGGATGTTGTAAGGAGTCTCATTACAGCACCCGTTTGAGTACTGTTATAGCTTCCATTACCGTAGCGAATTACAAAAAAGCATTTACTTAACTAAACAACCTTTTTCCTCATTTACTTAACCTTTTTGTCAAGTTTGACGCAAGGTCTATAGAACATAAGGTTACCCAATACCGATTCTCCTCCTCTGAGAGGCAAGGTGGGTCAGTGACGTAGCTGGTTCTATGAACAACACAACACGATGCGAGGCTTAAATATTTTATATAGACTATACCACAGTATAGACACGTATAGGCTATCTTTTATTTTGACTGTATCGAACCAGTGACGTCAATTTGCGGGGTAATAATCGATACTACAGAGGCATAGGGAATGAGGTAACCTTATGTTCTATAAACCTTGAGTTTGACGTACAATTTCACAGTCGACTACTGAATTTTCGATGATTTTAAGTAGCATTAACGAAATACGTGTCTTTAGACTTAAATGACAATGTTTTTTAAAAAAATAATAATAGTAAAAAAAGTTTTAGAATTAAATTCTACATGAAATGAGGTAATAATGTATTAAATCCACCAAAAGGTTAAAAAAACCTGTCAAAATTTAGGGGACCATCACCCTTAATCAACCCTTTGAAATGCCTCAGTTGGTCTCAATTTCCTACCAATTAATACCTTCCGTACACACAAAACGTATACCAAATTTGGTTTTTCCAGCTTAATGTATTATGAAGATATTCAATGTTTTAAAAGTTTAAGACCAAACTTTGAAGGACTATAACTCCTCAGACGTACAACTTAGTAGAGATAAGTTGCGTTAAATCATCTTAATTTATTGTCCTCTACATGTCCCTGCTCTGTGTCGGTTCTTATGTGAATCACCCTGTATATACAGGGTGTCCGATAAAAACGCCCCAAGCTGTAACTCTGTCATTTACATTCCGATTTTCATGAGCGAAGTATCAAATGAAATGGTTTGATGAATACTATGATTCATGCTACAAATATAATATAAATATATATATTTCCGAACATTCATATATGTATAACATTGAAATATCGTTTAATGACTGTTATCAGTTTTGCGCGTTATTTTTTTCCATGATACACTACAGTATTACAGAAGTGACTAAGACAATGTTCGGAAAATGGTTTAATTGTTTTTCTCTGCTAAAATTACAATTAATGTTAATGTATTGTACAGAAATGGGTTCAGAAAAAAAATCTGTATCCAAGAACGTGAAGAAAAACATACCAACCAATTTGAAAATCAAAAGTTGATAATCGTTTGAAATTGAAGGTGGCGTTGGAAAAAGTTTATTTGTAGCATGAATCATAGTATTCATCAAACCATTTCATTTGATACCTCGTTCATGAAAAACGGAATGTAAATGACAGAGTTACAGCTTGGGGCGTTTTTTATCTGACATCCTGTATATACAGGCTGGTTAAGTTTTACTATACACTTACTAATATTAATCAATAGATGGCAGCACTACATCCTACAATGTACTTATTAGTTGCTAGATGGCAGCACTCTAGGTCTCAACACAAGACCTAGAACTAGAATCAATGCGGCTAAACCCGAATGTTTCTAGTTCTTGGTCTAGTTAGTTCTAGTTTTAGACCAGCACTATTACTAGAACTGACACAAGACCTAGAACTAGAATTAGTTGGGTTTAGCCGTCTTGAGAGACGTGCGGCTAAATCCGAATATTTCTAGTTCTCTTTCTAGTGTTAGTTCTAGTTGTTACTGCTTCGAGGCCGATTAGTGGAATTGCCGTTGTATAATAGCTTGAGGGATTAAGAATTTTTTGGGGTTAATCAGATGCTTTAATCAAGACGTCATTTTCGGACTTGTTATCTCAATTTGAAAACCAACACGTCAATTTTTTCTTTTCTTATACAATTATGAATATTAATCAATAGATGGCATGGCAGCACTACGTCCTACATATCACTTATTAGTTGCTAGATGGCAGCACTCTAGGTCTCAACACAAGACCTAGAACTGGAATCATTCGGGTTTAGCCGTCTTGAGAGACGTGCAGCTAAATCCGAATGTTTCTAGTTCTAAGTCTAATGTTAGTTGTAGTGACAATGATAGGTAGCGCTAGTTAGCATCAGATATCACTATGTTGCATATTTTTATTGCACTATCACCAGAACTAACACAAGACCTAGAACTAGAATCATTCGGGTTTAGCCGTGTTGAGAGACGTGCGGCTAAACCCGAATGTTTCTAGACGGCCGGCAATATCTGGAAGTTCCCTCGTGTAATTTTTGCTTAAAACTGACCAATAGCAACCCTTCTTTTTAGCGCTTCAATTTAAAACACTCCTCCGAATTAAAAAATGAGCATAGTCACAGAATAACCAGAAGTGACACTAGCGGTATCCCGCCAAATCTGACGCCATATTATAGCGAGTTGCTAAGGTATGCTGTTATTGCTGGTAAAGATTTGGCAGAATATCCGCAGTGGCACTTCTGGTTATTCTATGCCTTTGGTAACTCGCAATAAGATGGCGGATTTTACATCGAGGTCACAAAACGAGGTGCCGTCAACATCAAACGAATCGACATCAGTGTCATTTCTGGTTATTCTGTGCCTTGAACTTCCCTAGCGCCCTCTAAGGGGATGATATTCACAACCCCTTTGATTTTTTTATAACAACTTTTTAACGCCATGGATTAACATAAAAAAATATGGGTTGTAAAGTTTATTCTTTATTGCTACTTTTTTGTGTCTTTAGTTTTTTCGTTAAAGATAATAGTTTTAGCGTAAAAAAAGTAAAGTATGCTGCATTGTACAGTAAAACGGTTCTATTATTAAAAAAAGAAATTTCTTTATTGCTGGCTATGGAAGTTGTGCACTTCCTAGGATTTAGTACTAACTAAATAACACCAAATAATTGTGATTTTCATAAGAAAGCCATAAATAAGATGAATGTCTGTCTGAACAAATTACGTTGTTTTAAACAATATTAAAAAATTGATACTCTTTCTTAATAAGAGTCAAAAATTATTAATAATCATCAACAATTATGAGGATTCACCGTATATGAAATTTACAAGTTCTCAGAGCCACTTTTAGAATAATTTTAGTTAAACATGGCGGCACATACCGGTGCATGGCACGATATTTTATTTTTTTACACGGAAACTATTAACTTTAAGGAAAATACTAAATCAAGGGGGTGGTGAATTTCATCTCCTTAGAGAGTGCTAGGGAAGTTTAAGGTATGCTTGAAAATAAGGTCTTAACCAGTAGTACAAAGTTTCAAAGACTCTATGTTTATATAAAAACCTTGTGCTATTTTGGCAAGAACTACGTAAAGTTTCCCGATTAAAAACTGAACCACCCTGTATATATATATATATATAGCTTTTACTGATATAATAAAAATAACTACAACCATTACCCCAATAACATTATATGGTTTCAATCTTTTTCAAACTCTGCTCATGAATATGTATTTAAAATTATAACGTGATTCATAAAAATATCTTTATAAACAAGAATTTTTTAGGTTGTATTAGCAAAAGAAGCAGGACTTCTTTACTCAGCAATTGCCTTGGTAACTGATTACGATTGTTGGAAAGACGACTACCAAACGGTTTCGCACAACGTTGTTCTACAAAGTTTCCAAAATAACGTCGAGAAGCTGAAAACCCTTTTAATTGCAGCCGTCCAAAAGGTTGCCGCGAAAAATTGGGATAAAGAAATTCAAGAATTACAGGTATTTATATTAATTTATGTAGCTATTTTTTTTTCTGTACACTATGCACAGTGTTCCTTTTAAATTTCTTCTTCCATTCCAATTTTTCACAAAATTTCCATTTCTAAAATCCTATCCTTTCCCTTTTCCAGATTGCCTTAGGATTAAAAACTCATAGAAGTTGTAAATGCCCCCCTAAAACTTAAAACTGGAAGCAACTAAAAAATTGAATTTGAATTGAGTATAATGTATACTTCTTTATTTTTACAGGAAATTCGCGTTATATATTAAATAATATAAAAAGATCATTTTAATAAATCTCTTTTTTTTTAATATTGTTTTTTCAAGTCAATTAATTTCTTTTATTAAAAATAAATTTATGTTAATTTAGATATTCTTTTTTTTTAATTTATTTAAATATTAACACAATCATCCTATTTTTTTTATTTACCTTAAAATTAACATTTATTAATATTCCCAAAAATAATGATCAAACAACACAATTTAAAAATTTTTATATTTTTTACCTTAAATTGTGTTGTTTAAACAAACTACTTTTTAACTTCCATAATAATAACATAAATTTCCAGTATTAATCTAAATCGTACAATAAATTATGATGTTTAATAATCCACAAATTTTGTAATTAAATTATTATTTATAAAAAAAAAAATAATGGTAAGTACAGTCTTCCTATTAAAAAAATAATTACATACTCATTATTCAACAAGCTTTGTTTTTTCTTACACATTCACATTAAAGATCTGGCGAAACGTTTTTCCTACGCACATATTTATTGAAATAATCTGGCCTCCAACACTTGCACGATCCCGGAATTAAGAACCAGTCGTAAAATAATCGCACTTGGAAACAACCCAAATTATCAATTCCATCGCAATGCATCGGTTTTTGTGTTGTTGCATCCACAGGTGCCGCTTGAAGCCCTGCTCTTTTATGTAGATATTGTTGATAATTCTAAAAGATCAAGAAAAAAAATTTGTTTGAATCGATTTTTTAGATAAAAATTAATTCTCTTACTTGGAAATCTTGTACAGATGGAGGTTGCGAAGCACTAACGGGTGATCTTTGAGGATTTCCCAAATCGGAACTTGATAAAACGGTATCTGGATAATAAATTTCGGCAACTAATAAACTGGACCATCTCGGTGAAGATAAGCATCCACCGTCTAAGTAGTGACATCTTGATTGTAGGCATCTAAATAAGCATTAAAAAATCAAAAAAAAATTAAAATGATTCTTTTATTTTTACCTAGTTACTTCTACAGTTTGAGTAAAGTAACCTTCATAAGGAATTTGTACAACATATCTCCAAATTCCTTGATAATTCTTCGCAAAAACTGGGGTAGCATATTCAACTTTAGCAGGACAAGGAGTTGGTGGTCCTTCATATCTCGTTGGAACATCATCTCGTCTTTCAATTGGCATTTGAGACGATGATGTTGGCTGGGAATTTGGATCACCATTTATCGCTTTGTACAACATACACCAAACACCGCCTTGGTCGCAAAATTTTCTGCTTTTTCTTGTTTTTATTTTTAAATCTTCTTCGCCTTTTTTCATTTCATCTTTATGCTTTTCTTCATTTTCCTTTACGTCCCTTCTAATACGATCATTAGCTTTGCTATAAGTACCAATCCTAAAAAATATATTTGTCGTTCAATACTTTCAAAAATAAAAACTGTATCTTCGTGACGCTAAACTCGTATATTATGTGACATGATTATGAAAATGTTGCCGTTTTCGCATGTTTCAGAGTTTGTCACGCAAATTTTTTTATGTAAGAAACAAAAATTTTTTAGTTACAAAACACGATGTCGAAATAAACAAACGTTTTACTTACGTGTTTTCGTTAATTCCGTCATCTTGTAATTGGGCTACTTTCGGTAAAGTTTGATCCGCTTTTAAAATGGGAAGAGTTCTACTTAAATATTTTAGAGTCATATTTTTAATTAAATCGCTAAAAAAAAAATGAGTTGATTATATTGTTTAATAAAGAATTTTTGTGTTTACAATGGGTAAGGTGATCCCATAACATTTTGTCCCATCGGATTTTTCGGTATTGATCCTTTATTTAAATCGCCGCAAAGATTAAAGGGGGCATTATTAGGAACTTTTTCGATTTCTTCTCGACAATTTACAGCTGAAAATGAATAAGGGGGAGGTCGAACCCGCGGCGGTTCAGCATTTGGTGATTCAATAAACGCGTAATAACCTTCTGGTGGTTCATCTGATTCTTTTCCTCTTTGATTTTCCTCCGCGTTAAGATGGTTTGAAGATATTAATATAAAAATCTAAAACAAAAAATTTATTGTATAAGATCGATTGAAAGCTGTTCGATTAATTCACAAATCGGCTACAAACGATTTAGACTTAATTAAATCATGTATATCTTTGAAAATTGTGCAGTTTGTATCTACAGGGTGTTCCGGTGACTCGGGGCATAAAATTAACCTCATATACTAGAGCAAAAATGATGACGATTCGTGAAAAAAAATTATTATAAAAGTCTTCAAATGGCTAAGATATGGGCCATCAAAGTTCAGAAATTTTAACACATTTTTCTAAATATTTTCAATACCATTTATGGTAGAGCGTTGAAATTTGGTACAGGGTAAACAAATATCAAGCAAAATTATTGAACCAATTTTGACTTTGATCGGGCGGCAGCAACCATGCTATACAGGTGTCCCTAAAATTTGTTTGCTCAGAACTTTTTTGTTCGCTCGTAACCCTACATTTATTATTGTACTTTTTAATAGAAAATTTATTTTAGAAACTATTATCACTCTTTGAAAATTTTTATAACATTTACCGTTTTCGAGTTATACGCGAAAATATTAAGCTTTGATTTCAATCGTAACAAACAAAAAAAGGAAACATATTCCGTAAGATCTGAGTTGGCGATGACAATTGAAAAACGAACTGAGCTAATAACCATTATTTGCATAAATTTCTAAGTGCAGATTTAGTTAAATCCAGTGTTAATTTATTTTAGTTGAATAAAAGAATGTAATTTCCAAAACGATAAATTTAATTTTCACGGTAACAACAAACAAGAACATAACAAAAATTCTAACAAAAATATTAACAAGAACAATAAAATTATAAACAAATAGTAATAAATAAAAAAGAAGAAAAAAATACTAAAGCAGATGTTCAAAAACACTGCCTGATATCGCCGTCTTAAATTAAAGCGCACTCTGCGGAGAACATTGATCTCAGTTCGAAGTTGATCAAATGAATCAACAATTTGCAACCTCAGTTGATCAACTGAAGTTATTTCAACGCAGTAAACTAGTGGTTTAACGCGTTCCCATAAATAAAAATCTACAGGTGTAAGATCCGGCGATCGGGGGGCCAACTTATGGGTGCACCTACTCCTCGTCCAATCCACCGTCCCGGAAAACGTTCCCTCAGAAATTCTTGGACAGCCTGTGTGCTATGCGCAGGAGCACCATCATGCATATACCACATTGCTTGCCTTGTGTTTAAAGGAACGTCATCTAAAAAATCATCTAATTCCTCTAAATGTCGCCTGTATGTATGTCCATCCAGCCTTGATGGCAAGAAAACGGGTCCAATAATTACATCGCCCACAATGCCAGCCCAAACGTTAAGAGAAAATCTCCATTGTGATTTCCAAGTTTTCTTAAATCTTGGATTTTCGTCCGCCCAACTATGTAAATTTCTCAAATTGAAGATTCCATCTTTAGAAAAAGTGGATTCATCTGTAAAAAGCACTTTTTCTTAAAACTGATCATCAATTTGGATTTTGTGCTGCATTATTTGGCAATATTGCAGTCGCAGTGGGTAATCAGCCAGTCGAACTTCCTGAACTTTGTAACAATGAAATGGATAAAGCTGTTGCTCGTGAAGAACACTCCAGACAGTTGTTTTTGAAGTTAAAAAGTGCCTCGCCATATCCAAAGTACTAGCTGTAGTATTTTCTTCTACGTAGTCTAGAATATCTTCTTCTAGTTCGGGTGTTCGGACTGATCTTACGTTACTGTTGTTAGTAAATTTCGGCTTAAACGTCCCATTTTCCCTTAAACGGGTTTCAATCCTTAAAAATGTTTTTCGATTGGGCGCTCTGCGATTCGGAAATTTCTCCCGATAACGCTTAGCGGCTGCTACGGCGTTTCCATGACATTCCCCTAATGTCAAAATCATGTCAGTTTGTTCACTAAATGTGTAACTCTCCATTTTGAACACTTAAAATTAATAAAAACTTAACTAACAAAAAACTATCGTTTGTGTTTAAACGACATAAGCAAGTTGACAGCTCAATTTTTTTTTTTAATTGCCATGGCCAACCTTGACTTTTTCGAAGATTTTTGTTTTTTAGTGTTACCATTGAAATCGAAGCTTAATATTTTCGCGTATAACTCGAAAACGGTCAATGTTATCAAAATTTTCAAAGAGTGATAAAAGTTTCTAAAATAAATTTTCTATTAAAAAGTACAAAAATAAATGTAGGGTTACGAGCGAACAAAAAAGTTCTGAGCAAACAAATTTTAGGGACAGCCTGTATAGCATGGTTGCCGCCGCCCGATCAAAGTCAAAATTGGTTCAATGATTTTGCTTGATATTTGTTTACCCTGTACCAAATTTCAACGCTCTACCATAAATGGTATTGAAAATATTTAGAAAAATGTGTTAAAACTTCTGAACTTTGATGGCCTATATCTTGACCATTTGAAGACTTTTATAATAATTTTTTTTCACGAATCGTCATCATTTTTGCTCTAATATATGAGGTTAATTTTATGCCTCGAGTCACCGGAACACCCTGTATACGTTATAGATGTAGCACCTCGGCCGCAAGTGACCTTGAACCAACCTCGGCTTGGTTACATAACACGTCTTTGAAAAATGTGTACTTTTGTAGATATACGATATCAATATCAGACGCACGGTTATACGCTAAACCCGAAACGTTAGATTATTGGATATTGTTCATTGAACTAAGGGGCCAAATTGAAGATATTTTCTTAATAATGTTTTGACCACAACTTAATAATGACAAAGATATAGAACGTTAAAGTTGAAATAATGGCCGTGCATTTCTTACCATATACGGTATTACAGTACGTTTAAATTCAAATTGCGAGGGGTTACTTAAACAATGCATAATTAACAAAAATAATACAATCTTGGTAATATAGCAGTTATGGGTATTTAAAAATTTGTTAAAATGCTCAAAAACTGGTGTTTTTTTGTTGAGAACCGCTGATACCATGTTTTTATTGCTGCCAATCCAGTTGATTACAGTTGATTTGATTACTTACCAGCGGACATGTCATTTAACGTCAAAATTAAATGTCTATTATTTAAATGAAATTAATTTAAATTATTAAATTTAACATCTATTATTTCTTTTAAGAAATTACGTATTATCTAAAATAACAAAACTACCAAAACAATAAATTGTCTACATTTACAGCTCCTTTAAAAATGAGGATGGCATTGACAAATATTTTTATTATCCTTTACTGAATATCAGCGATTCTCAAAAATGGACGTTAAATTATTTAAAAAATTGACATACGATATCTATGTAACTATTAAGTTTTAAACTCAAGTTTTCTCTTCAGTTTGACCCCTAGTACCTACCCTTTTAGTTTGCTCCGTATGTTATAAATCACCCTGTATATATATATCTCATAGAAGTTGATTATTCGCTTATTATTAAATTCGTTTTTTTTTACCGTGTTCTGATTACCTAAATATAGGGTTTGACAGGTCCATTTCTTATTGTTTTAGAATAAAACTAAAAATAAACTTTTTTTTAGTGTCAAAGAAATTAAATTTACAGTTTCCTGTAAATTATAACTAAAAATTAAAAATCATATTTCTGATATTTGAAACAAATACATTTGTTGAACTATTTAATTTATATTTGTTTTACACAAAAGTTGGAATAGATTACATTATTTCACATTTTTTATTAATATATAATATTATTATTAAATGACTTGATAAATTATTGATAGATGGTGCTCATATATTTTATTTTAATTCAAATAAACATATTTGTTTGTATTAAAACATTTTCTCAAGTGTCGAATTAAAAATCCTGTTTTTTAAGATGAATTGCGAAAATTAGGACAAGTTCAACATGTTAGAATGTTCCATATGAAAAAATAAAGTAAATTTTTAGTAAAGTAAACATTTAGTTATAGTACCATAATTTACAGGAAACTGTAAATTTAATTTCTTTGACGATACTAAAAAAAGTTTATTTTTTGCTTTATTCTAAAACAATAAGAAATAGACTTATATTTTTGTAATCAGAAAAAAATAACGAATTTAATAAACGAATAATCAGTGGTTGTTTCCATTTAAAATATGAAAATTGTCATAATATCTCAAAATCTAAAACCGAAAAATTTTCTTTGACTACGTCATCAAATTCTCTGCAAAAAAGTGTCCCTATAATGTCTGAGTTATAATACTCCACCTATAATAATAACCAAGATAATTACACTTGCTGGTTTCCTGGGTTACAGTTTCCTGTAAATTACGCTTCTATAACTGAAAATTAAAAAAACGTATTTCTGATATTTGAAACAAATATATTTGTTGAACTGTTTAATTTATATACGTTTTACACAAAAATTGGAATAGATTGCATTATTTCACATTTTTTATTACGATTTAATATTATTTTTAAATGACTTTATAAATTATCGATAGATGGCGCTCATATGCTTTGTTGTGATGAAGTGTCACTTCAAAAATCCTGTTTTTGAGATCAATTACGAAAATTTTGAAAAGTTTGACATGTTAGATATTAAAAAATTATTTGTTTTTAAATACCAGAAGTTATCTTCGTATTTAATTGTTAACTTTTTAGATTTTACCTACCGCCCCGTAACTTACAGGAAACTGTAAATTTAATTTCTTCGACGACACTAGATGGAAATTTTTTTAAAAATGTTTATTTTTAGCTTTATTCGCTGTTCGGACATCGAATTTGAACCACCCTGTTTATAATAATCATTATTTTCAAGCGTATGATACACTCCTAAAGGTTGGTCCATTCCTCCTGACTCACCTGTATATTGAATGCATAATATTCAGACTTAATTAAGTTATATATCATTACAAATAGTACGGCTTTGTATCTATATTTCATAGAAGTAGCTCCTCGGTCGAAACCGACCTCGGGTTAATTGCATAAATGACTGATTCCAATCAAATGAAATCTAGAGAGATTTCATTTTTATTAAAGATTTATTATAACTTGACAAAATCTATAATAATTTTGATGTATTTAAAATAATTAATT